TTCTATGTTTATGTTAACTTTTTAAACCAAATTTTACACGAGTTAAATAGGTAGCACAGCATAGTGCCACCACAAAAGTTATATATTGCATTGTTCTCGGCAATAGTTTATTTAATGTTAATAAAAAAACTTAAAGCAAATATTTGATAGGCATCCAAATGGAGTTGGTAATCTCATGTTCATTAATAAACAATATTTTGTGGATAAGTCAAACTTCAATTAATAAAAAAATATAATCCAAGAAGAATTAATAAATGAAGTTGTAATTCAGTTTGAATTATGAGGTTTAATTGATTTTAATTAATTTAAAAAATATTTATCAAATTACAAAATTTGAGTCATGATTTTCTTCTTAAAAAGATTGACACAAATTGAGCGGATAGCACAAATAGCACTACTATATAAATGACACAGTGCCCTATTATAAAATTAGTTAAAGCCAAACCAATGATTTGGTATAGCAAAACTACAATAGAGAGCTTTTTTTTTTTAACTTCTACACCATGGAACACACATGACTAAATAAACTATATATTCATATTAACTTCTTTAAAATAAGTTTTACACAAGTTCGATAGGTACCACAAGATAATGGCACAACAAAAATGATACATTGCACTCTTCTAAGCAGTAGTTTACTTAAGATTATTGAAAAACTGACTACCAATCTTTGGTGGGTATCGCAATGGAGTTGGTGATCCCATGTTCAATAATAAATGAAGTTTCAAACTTCGATGAAAAAAAAATTAATCTCAAAGGACAATCAATAAGTTAAGTTGCAGTTGGATCATTTTTATTTATGGTGTTTACACAGGGTTAATTGAGTTGGATTAATGTTATAATTTTTATTTATTGTGTAATTTTTTTTAAAACAATGTAATATATAATTCAACATAAAGATTATTGTATTATAGATTATAGTTGTATAAGGTTCTTAATTTACATTTTTTATACATTAAGTTAAATATATCTATAACATAAATTTATTTTAGTTATGCAGTAATAAATTAAAACTTATAAATATATAACCTAGAACTAATAGTTTTTAAAAGTTTATTAATAAATTTAATTGACTTAAAAAATATAACAATAATTATATACAATCCTATAATAGAATCGAGCAAAACCACAATAAAAACTTCATTTTTTCTTCTACTACACAATTAAAGCATAAAGTCCCCGCATCTGTGTATGATATATATGCCCCTTTGAGATGTACGATGAAACTATATATTAAGTTTAAATAATTTATTCATTCATTTTGATTTATTTGAGATAAGTTTCACACAAGCTGAGCAGGTAGTGCAACACAGTGCCAACAAAAAATGACACATTGTATTGCTATAAAATTAATTATAAATAAAATGACAATACAGGATAATAATACCATAATAAATAACTTCTAATTTACAATTTCTAAGCTATTCAAAGCACAATGCCCCTTTGAACTCTATATTGAAATAATATGTCCAATTTATATAAATTCTAAATTCAATTTAACTTCTTTAAAACAAATTTCACATAAGTTGAGCAGGTAGCACAACATAGTGCCACAAAAAAAAATAATGCATTGCACTGCTCTAGGGAGTAGTTTACTTGATAGATTAATACTATTTAAAAATAATTTTAATACAAATTGAGCGGGTAGCATGATATAGTGCCACCATAAAAATGACAAATTGCACTGCCCCTAAGCAATAATTTACTTAAGATTAATTTTAAAACCTATATTTTAGGAGAAATTGAATCAAATAAGTTAGTTATACATTACTGGACGACTAATTCATTGATGTAGGATAGTTACTTTAAAGGATCTAAGACTACCTTCATTATTTTTCATACATAAAAAATGTCAGTTTACAAAATTCTATTAATTTACTGTTCAAAGTTTTTTTTCACCCAAAAAACTTCATAGAAACTTCTTTCTTCCCATGAAAAGAGCTTTTTCTTCATCGGGCCTGGTTGACGCGGTGACGATTGTGACACTTCGTCCCGAGTTGCGAGTTTCACTCTGGATATCATACGATTTTGACAACCCGCTTTCCCGCCTCGAATAAAAATATATAACGTGAAGGAAGACATTCTTATGCCCGGTTTATTATTGCGTTTTATTCATGGTTTATTATTGCATTTTATTTGGGTTAGAACGTGAAGGTTAGGCATACCCTAACCCCACGTCTCCGGAGTCTTGACCCCTCTCTCTCTCTCTAGGAAACCCTAACCCACGTCCTTGGCTCGGGTGACATTCGCACTCTCTCTCTATCTGGGGTCGCAGTCTGTCTCTCTCTCTAGGGCAAGCCTGACACCGCCCGCGCCAGTGAGAGACCTCTCTCTCTCTGTAACCCGACCTCTCTCTCTAAAAGGAATACAGAATGGTGGAAAGATAACGAGTGACAGGTGAAAAAGGTACGCCAATCTCTCTCTCTCTCTATATATATTTGTATCGGGGGTTGTATCATTGCATGATGCCTTGAAAAGTGTGATGGAATTGCCTGCATTAATCCTTTACATGTGTGTTCCATGGAACACATGAACCATCGCGCATCGTTGTTGCTCACATGCTCTCTCTCTCTCTCTCTCTCTCTTCCATTCTATGTAACTGAGGTAGATTTACTCTTTTTTACCCAATTTTGTTATTTTTCCTCCATTGGCAACTGGATTCTAACATTGCTTGCAAGTAACAGAGAAGGTGGCTATTGCCAAAGGTGCAGGTGATTTATCTCTAAGCATTTTATTCTATTGTTTCTATCCTTTGTGGTGTTGCTTTTTATGCAGAAACCCTAAACCTTGCGAAACAATGAATTGTTTGTACAGTGATCAGATTTTATACCGTAAATGATAAGACATAAGAATGATAATTTAAACTTCGAAATTTCTATGGATTTCTCTAAAGGTATTAGTGGATTACTTATGGGGTACTTTTTATTGGCTCAATACAAACCATGCAGGCTCGGAAATTTTAACTTTTTGATCATATATGGTGGTTTTGGAAGGTGCTTGGTCGGTTTTTTAGGAATTCTGAAGTGCATAGTTTTTTTTGTTATGAATAATTCCATAAAAATCCCCAAATTTTAAATGAGGATGCTAAGGTATTGGGTTCCAGATTTAGCTGGGAAATGATGAATGACTTGTTTATGGGAAACATCTATATGTGCATTCACTTATCAAGAGGTAGAATCTGTTACTGCATGCCCGAAGAAATTGCTTACCTTTAATCAGATAGAATGCTTATGGATCCCACTTTTCTTGGTGTATGATATTACCATCATATCATTTTATTGTAGTTTCTTTTTTGGATGGATACTATTGATGTGCATCTGGTTAATCTGATGGAGATGTACAAAAAAAATGGGGGGGCTCAATAAAGATAAAGGTTGACTTGTTTATTTAGAAATAAATATCAATGATATGTGAGTGAGTTATTTTTCTTTTTTTTTTTCTTTTTTGATAGTTGATAAAAAAAGTTGTTTGAGTTTGAGAATTATCTTATTCACCTGAATTTTGACCTATTATTCTCTGGAGTTTTCACTAGGAATGGGCGTTTCTATTACATATTACATCTAAAATGTTTATCTTTCTATTAGAATTAGTTACACAAGTTTTTTTTGTCAGAAGAGAATTAGATAAACATTTTCTATCTTTTTTGTTTGTGTTTATTTTCTATTGGACTTCTATTTCTAAATCATATTGGAAATGAATTTTTCAAGTTTTATATGCAAACCATGGATCTTTGAAGAGGACCCTATAAGAAGTAATTTTTTGCAATTTTGCTGGAAATTTTCTTGATAATTATAAATGTTGGATAGACTTGCAATTGTTTGAGATGGTTTTTTGACAAGGAGTGGATGGTTTCTGAGAGACATGAAGTTTTGAGGTTTGTCAAGAGGAGTGGTGGCCTTGTAGAGAAGCTATGAATTATAACTCATCTGGTTTTTCCATCATGGATCAAGAAGGATACATTAGGAAAGTTTTGGATCTTTTAGGATGGTCTTTCCTTGAGGGACTTGGCAGTTGGAACACATTGAGCTTTTTGCGATGGTCATTGGTGGACAAGGTCAACATGGGAATTAATGAGATCTTTAAGAATTGAAAGAGTAATAGGTTGGGAAAAATTTGACAACTTCTTGATATTTTGTTTGATATCATGTTTCTGTTCCCTTCTCCCTTAGTATTGAGAAATTGTTTTTGATTATTTTTTCTAGACTTACTCAAGTGGACGTTAGCAGATGATGGTGCAATTCTTATTTGACATTCTTATACTTTGCAGGATTATCTTCCTCCAGTATTGTGGACTCTAGTAGCCAATATGTTGCTTGTGAATGGGCAGATGATCATTGGTACCTGAATATTGGGGAGCCCCTCTTCTCTGCAACATGACTTATGAAATGGCTTCAAGTTTTTGGGGTCCTGTGACGTCCACCACTGAGTGGTGTGAAGAAAATTATGCTTATTCTTCCTATATTGCAGAGTTTTTCAACACAATTTCAAATATCCCATGCATTCTTCTGGCATTTATTGGTCTCATAAATGCTCTAAGGCAGAGATTTGAGAAGAGATTTAGCGTCCTCCATATATCAAATATCATACTCTCTATTGGGAGCATGCTGTATCATGCTTCACTGCAACATGTGTAAGATTCCTTTATCGCCCTTTTATAAATTGACGGGAAATGTCTTATGCTTTCCAATACTTTTTTCCTTTAATATATCACCTGTCACTACCATCTTAGATTTTTTTTACTTATCAGGTCACTCTTGATTTCATTACGTGTGTAACTATATTTTCTTGAAGCCATGCGATTTTATTTACCATTTGCAAAATGATGTGCTTTTGATTTACAACTAAACTTACTTTGCTTTGTAGTCCCATAAATTGAATCATATTGATGGTGCATTTGTTTTCGTAAAAAAAGAAAAGATTTAACTTTGAATATATTTTAAGCCCATGTAAACAAGGTCGCATTTGGGAACTTTAGGTATTAAAACCACATTATTTTAGTGATGAACTTCTAGTGGTAAATGTTTTATCACATATGTGGATAAAGTTTAAGAGTTGGGACTAGGGTCTTTTGTGGCTTATGAAGGATCCATATAATTGACTGTATTGGCTGTACATTTTTTATTATATTTTGAATATGTAACTTTCTTAAAAGGCTAAGAAATGTACAGTGCAAGGGCAGCCCATAGGCTGGGGGCTCCGATAAAAAAACCTGAAAATGTGCTATACAAGGCGCAAAAAGAATTGGCTTTACAATGGTGTGTAACATAAAAGCAGGCTAAAAGAGGGAGCCATAGCCTCAAAAAGGCACTGGGGTAGTTTACTGAGAGCTGAGTTGGGTTGCCCCAGCTTTTTCTAGAGCGTCGGCTATCGAGTTTGACTCTGTCCAAGTATGTGTCCATAAGGTATGAATAGGCCTGTAAAGGTAGAAGATTTCGTCAAAGATTTATGTGAATCTCCAAGGGTAGGTGAGGAACGAGAACCCCATGCTATAACGTTCTTAGAGTGTCCCTCTATAATCAAAATTGGACTCTAGGGCAGGTTGAAGTTTTGAGTCCCTCAAGGAGGGCAAGGGCCTTGGTAGTGGTGGCATCTGCTATATTGATTGACTCGAGGAGGAAGTGAGGGTTTGGCCTTCCTTGTTTCTGATGATGCCCCTTATACACATTGCTCTTGGGTTGCCTAAGGAGCAGCCATCAAAATTGAGTTTGGAATGGCCAATGTTAGGCGGTCTCCAAAAAGAGAAGCAGGGGATGCAGCCAATGCTAAAGTGGAGGATTGGTCGCCAATTATATAGGAAATCAGCACAGCGAGGTGTTTGAAACAATTTTGGTGTGTGGCCCAGAAAATGGCCAGCGAGGTAAGGCGCTCATATAAGTTTCCAATTGTTGCCTTCTCTCCTCAGAAGAATCTATTGTTGCGCTCCGTCCAAATGAACCCAAGCGTGGCTGCTACCAAGGCTCGCCAAAGGAGGATGTTGGGCTTCGACCATGGTAGGGGATGAAGCTCACTAAAGAGGCTAGGGGTGACCCAACTCCAATTAAAGAGTTGTAGAATGTGTCCCCATAGATCAGTAGTCACTTCGCAGTGGAGAAACAGGTGGGCGTTGGATTCAGCCTCCTAGGTGAACATAGCGCATCGGTTGGCGATGGGTAATCCCCTGATTTGGAGCTAGTCCTGTGTGAGGACTCGTTCATGCAGGGCTATCCATGAGAAGACTTGAAGGGATGAAAGGGAGCCAGGCCTTGGTAGCAGTAGAGGGTGGGAGGCATGAGGAGTGGCGGTAGAAAGAAGAAATTGGGAAGAATCCCAAACTGTTGGGGACCCATAGGATTTGGTCCTCTAGTTCGGGAGGAGGGGGTTACTGCATGAATGAAGGTAGACAGAGCCATGAAGTTAGGAAGTTGTTGGTTGATAATAAGCCTGCTAAAGTTGGCACTCCAAGGCTTGGTAGTGCCTTGTGCCATGAAGAGCTTGGCGATTGTGGGCTTGGTATTGCTGGCTAGGGGGAAGAGATTGGGGAAATGGTTCTTGAGAGGGAGATTTCCAACCACCGGTCGTTCTAAAATTTAACCCGATTATCAAAATGGGGATGAAAACGAATGTTGCTCATGAAATGGTTGGCACAACACACTAGAGACTGCTAGAAGTAGGAGGAAGAACTTTTGGACCGACAAATAAGGTCGAGGTAAGGGCTTGGCAGTGGTATTTGTGTCTCAACTCCTGAAGCTACAGGTGGTCCTCTCTAGTGAGGATGCACCAATACCATTTACCAGGGAGGGCGTTGTTCTTGGTCTTGAGGCGGCGAATACTATTTTGGGTGACAAACTTTCTCTCAAGAAATTAGATGGAACTTCCGGGGGTGTCTGTCCCCTGACCACAGGAAATTCCTCATAAGTTATTCTAGACGGGCTACCACAGATGCTGGCATGGGGAAAAGGAACATTTGAAAGACCGGGATGTTGGAAAGAGTTTCCTTAATAAGGGTGATTTCGCCTGCTGTAGATAGGAATCTTCTTTTCCATCCCGCCAGCTTGCGATTAAATTTGTCGATAATGTGATCCCATTGTCTCCTTTTGGGTTTGTTGATGCATAGTGGCAAACCGAGGTAAGTAAAGGGTAAGTTGTCGACCTTGCATCCTCATCGGTCGGCAAGGGAACTGATGAGGTGGTCCTCGGTAGAAATTCCGGTCATTTTTGAAGTTGAGACAGGACTAACATTTTTGGAGCATCCACTTTTTAAAAATGTTGATATCATAATCGTGTAGTAGTATTTAGATTCCTTCCTGCTGCTCCATGTTGCCTATTGTTAGCCTTGCTCTCTTGCTAATGTCATACATGAACTCTAGTTTATGTTGCGAGTCATGGAGATCAACTAGTAGTTGTTGCATCGATCTCTGCACTAGAAAGAGATGGCGATTAAGCATTCCTATCCGCATTAGGAACTTCTTTGACCCGACAAGGTCCAGGCATGAAACGTCACATTTTCATCCCAATAACTAGGGTTGTTGGCTGCTTAATGCCATATAATAAGGATTGGTTCAATAAATTTTTGTCATGGTACCTACCCAAACAAATTCGTCATTATCAAATTGTTTTGACCTTATATTGTTGGAATTTGGAGGAACAAGAAAAGATGAAAAAATGTCTTCAAATTAGCAAAAATGGGAGATAAAAGGTGTAGAGATCTAGACCTTATTAAATGCATTAAGAGTGAGGATCAAAAGATCTTTGTGAAGGATGAAGTCAATGAAAGGTGGAGAGTTTATTTTAAAAAATTATTAAATGATGAACACAAGGGGAACATAGCGGTAGAAAGAACTATTGGCATAAATGAGGGCGGAGGTCATAAATACATTAATTGGATTAAGATATCGGAAGTGAAAGCAGCTTTGAAAAGGATGAAGATAGGAAAGGTTTTAGGACCATATGGTGTCTCGATAGAGGTTTGGAAGTACATGGGGAAGATTCACATTGACTCGTTGACGAAGCTGTTCAACAAGGTGTTGAGAATAAAGAAAATACTAAATGAATGGAGGAAAAATACTGTAGTACCTATTTACAAGAACATAGGAGACACAAAATTGTGCGTACTATCGAGGAATCAAACTTATATGCCACACTAAGAAGCTTTGGGAGAGAGTGATATGGGAGAGTGATTGAGTAAGGACTAAGGCATGAAACGAGCGTATCGGAGAACCAATTCGGTTTTATGCCAGGGAGGTCAACAACCGAGGCTATTTTCCTATGTAGGCAACTGATTGAGAAGTTTAAGGTAAAGGGACCTCCACATGGTCTTTATTGATCTAGAGAAAGCTTATGATAGAGTACCTTAAGATTTGATTTGGTGGGTGATGGAAAAAAAGGAGTCTCCAGACACTACGTTGACTTGGTGAGAGATATGTACGATGGATCGCTAACTAGTGTACGAACCACTAATGGAGTGACGAGTGAGTTTTAAGTGATAATAGGTCTACATTAGGGGTCAGCATTGAGCTCATAACTCTTTGTCCATAACTAACTAGGCACGTACGAGATGACGTACTGCGGTGCATGTTGCTCGCATATGACATAGTTTTGATCGTTGAGACTTGAAACAACGTCAACACAAAGTTAGAACTTTGGAGGGATGCTTTAGAATCTAAAGGTTTTAAAATTAGCTGGATTAAGGCAGAGTTTATGGAATGCAAGTTTAGTAATAATTGGAGTAGAGACGAGGAAGTAGTTAAGATTGATGACTAGGAAATACCAAAAAGAGCACACTTTCGATATCTTGGGTCGATAATCCATGAAAATGGAGAGATTGGAGAAGACTTCACACATAGAATCAGAGCTGGGCAGACGAAGTGGAGATGTGCAACCAGAATTTGATGTGATCGTTGCATACCAATGAAGCTGAAGGGTGAGTTTTATAGGATAGCTATGAGACCAGCTTTGCTCTATGGGGCAGAATGTTGGGCGGTCAAAAAACAGTTTACCCATAGAATGCGTGTAGTGGTAATAAGGATGTTGAGATGGATGAGTGGCAAGACAAGAAGGGACAAAAATCGAAATGAATACATTTGGGAAAATTTAGGTGTGACACCAATTGGCGATAAGATGAGAGAAAGTAGACTTAGGTTGGCTGGTTTCTGTTTTTTTTTTTTGTTTTTTTGTTTTCTAATAAAAAGAACCGAGGGATGGGGAGGATACAAGTCATTTTTCTTCCATTTGGTTGGAGAGGAAGAGAGGACCAAAATTCAAGTATGGTGTTTATTGAAGTTCGTAGGCCTATGTGAAATTAAACAAACATAGCCTGTAATGAATGAACAATGAAACAAACATAGGAAGTAGGTCAAAAGATGGTGCACTGCCTTGTAATAAATGAGCATATGTGTTACTAATCCTCCATCTTCTTTGTGTAGAATGCATCCATTGTCATTGATTCTGAAGGCTTGAATTTACTGGTTGAAACAACAAGCCTAATTCCAAACCTCTTTGATGAGGGTCGGGTCGGCCTAGACCTCCTGGCATAAAGATTTAATTGTTGAGGATGCCATGAATTGGCATCTACACTCTAGAGTTCCACTTTGCACCAATTCCCAAGGTAAGATTCAAAAGAGAGGAAAAGGTAAAAAAACTGTGAACTTGCCA